CCCTAACAAACGGGTGACTGACCGCGGCGATCTTTCCTTTACCCTTCCTTGTCTTATTCTTACTCCTTCCACTTGCACATACGTGCACTATTCTTAAACACTTGAAGAAAGGCCGTCGATAGTTTAGAGCTTGTCCCGGCGCAGGTGGTGCCCTGCTGCTGAGAGATACCTGGTTAGGGAAACCCCACTATCCGACAGGCAGGTCGGTGCCAAATCTTACCACCCAGCGAGGAAGATCACTGCCACATCCAGAGGAGAAAATGCACTTACGGAAGTAATGACCTTAGGAGTGACGCGCCGTAAACTAATCAAGCAATAACATAAGAGTGCACACAATTAATTAACCATACACTTTTCAAAAGGAAATCTCTCTCATATAATTCCAAAATCGTTGCGTCTGATCACTGTTTAAAGAAGTGTTATCACCTTTAAGCACAACCTTTTCTTTTCTGACGAGTCTTTACATTCCTTTCGTTTCGAAAGTAAGAAATCTAGGACTCTATAGTCCACCTTTTTTCTCTACTCCCGGCAGGAACAACAATTCCGACTTGGAAACAGTACGTAACATTTTGGCTGCACGCTGTCCTCTGCGCTCACACCTCGGCGAGCGAGGTCATTACTCTATATTTCGCCCCTTTTAATATTTTTAATTATTACTATTATTTATTTAAGGTCACATTTCAACTAATAGGTCATGTAGCGGCCACTTTGATTGTTTACGCTGGAGTAACTACAGAGGAACACGACTCGTAGGAACCACACAAGTACACACAAACATCAATGCCCGAGGTGCATGCCGTCACCCCACACAGGTTTACATAAACGGGCTTCAAAAAAAAACCCGAAAGTATAGTCGATACTGGAAGTTTATCAGCTGAAGAAAAATCAAATATTAAAATAGACGGCATGGATATTCGAGGTCGCTAAGTTTGTGGGGCCGTAGTTATCATGGGTCGCGAATTCGAATCCCGCCTCGTGCATGGATCTGTGTGTGTGTGTGTGTGTGTGCTTGTGTTGTTCCTACGTGTCATATTTCTCTTTAGTTACTACAGCGTAAACAATCAAAGTCGCCGCTACATGGCCTATTAGTTGAAATGTGGCCTTAAATAAATAATAGTAATAATCATAAATATTAAAATATTTGAAATTCATGTACTGGCTGTTTGTAATGAATCTTTTGATGCAATGAAATACAAAGCAAATACGGTACAAATCCCATATTTTTTTATTCCTTTTTTGATTTAGTAACATTTGAAAGCGGAATTAGCCGAGAAAAGATTTTGATAAACAATATTACCAATAATTATAATTCTTTATAATATATGCCTTATTTTGTATTCCAAAGAGATAGACTTCAAGTAAAAATTCAAGTGAATTTGATCATTGCAATTTTCAAAATTTGCCTCTCAAAATGGTTGATTTAATTTCCTTCAGAGTGTTGTAATTTATTCCCACGTTAAAACAAAGTATTTCGGATATTTACCGAATTTTAAAACAATAATTAGTAATAATAAAGGTTTAGACATGGTTATCTTACCAGAAATTTTATTTAACACTATCCAATTTTTAGGAAAAATCTCTCTTCGACTTCACACCTGCGATATCTTGTGATTTCCGACTAAGAACTGATATCTGGTAGCTAAAGAAAGTTTTTCGTACGGAATTCACGAGTTTAGCTCCGCAATTTACTTACAAACATTATATATTAAAAGTTAATTATATATTAGATATAATATAATATATTAATGTATAACAGATTATAAAATATTTAGAAAATAAAGGTATTTTTATTCCACCTAATATTTTAATTCAGATAATAATCAGGGGGCTCTTGCTCATCGTGTCCGACTTCAGCCAATGAGATTAAGACACCAGTTTTCGTCACAATATTAGCGGAAATTTTAAATGCAACCAGATACCGAAATTGTAACCTCGTTAAAAGACATTGAAACAGAGTTATGATGCATTTCTTTTAAATATTGCATCTTGTATATACTATATTACCTCTTGTATATCCTTTTGTCATGTGATTCTGATCACATAAACCAAAACTATTCCATACATTTCAATTATAAAATAAAACAAAACTACCACATTTTACGCCGTGATATACTGTTATTGTTCGAACAACATTTCACTTGTAATCTTCACACGAGCACGCTATTCAAGCAGTTTACGAAATTATTGATCATTCCACAACACAATGCCTCTAAGGGAATTACACACTCGCCATGATGCCAACTTACAAATACATAAATCAACATTTTCATTAAATGATCAATGTTTATTAAAAGTGATCACAAAGTTAAATAATGTAGGAGAAAAAGTGAACATTCCCAAAATTATTCTTAATGAATTAGGGCCAAAGGAATTGAAATTCTGAAATTTGAACTCAGTGAATGTTTTACTCGCGATGTTTGGAGTTGCTCAATGACCTCTAGGGGTCATTCCCGGAAGTTCCACGCAAGTTGATGGTAAAGAGAGCGACAAATATTTAAATTATTACACGGTAATGAGACCGGCCTAACATTTGTACGGGACAGGTGGGCTCTTGCGCATTGTATCCGAATTCAGGCAATGAGCTTGAGACACCAGTTTGCGTCACAATATTTGTGGCAATTTTAAATGCAGCAAGATACCAAAATCATTTAGCTACAAGACATTGAAACAAATTTATGATGCGTTTCTTTTAATTGTGCATCTTGTATACCTTTATCGTATTACTTTTGATTGTTTACCGTTGAAAATTGCCACTTTGCGTCACTTTCAAAACGTTTCTCTACCCTTCTTGCTCTACATGCAACATGGCTGCCAGCATCTGGTCTAGCTTTTCAAACATGCTGTGGCCACGTGGTTCGTGACGCAAACGAAAAAAAATCGGTGAACCGGAGAAACTCGCTCATGTATTTCCACTATGATAATAATAGTCAAACAATTGTCAAACTTTTTTACTTTGTAAAATATACACATATCTGTTACATTCAATAAGTTTCAAATTCGTTTAACCCTCTTCAGGTTGGAACATCTGCCTTACAGGCGACACAGTGACTATTGTTATATCTGGGAGCGCTATTAGCACGCCAAGCGTTTTCACCCTCGTCAACTACTTCAGTACGCTTATAACATGCAAGGAGATAGCGTAATCTCAGCAAAGGCGTGCGGCCTTTTCATGTAAATTATAGTTTTTTGAAACAAGCGATGCTTCACAGGCAGAAGTTGCCACAGTTGTAGATTTGGATGTCTGCTTTTCAAGAAAATGTACCTACAGATTCATTATTTAAAATCTGCTTCACAAACAGATTTTTTTATTCAATTGCTTTTTACACGCGATGTATCGTTCTAGCGATATGCTCTAAATGTTATGCAATTATAGACTCCCAAAATGTGTAAAAACATGCAATATAAAATTACATTCCTCACCGGAGAAACATCGTTTGGTGGATGTATTGCAATATGTATATATTTAAATGTAATAGAAAAAATATATTACATAATTATCCTAGCCTTAGTGACAATCAAGGAGTGG